GAGGCTCCAAAGCTACACGAACAACTGCAAAGCCACTCTCAGGCTGCAGAGCTGGGTCACAGAACAGGGTCATTTAAGTTAAAGCAAAGTCTGCATGCAAACTTTTCTGCTTTTTGCAGGAGTCCTTGAAGTAACTCTCTCAAGGAAGAGCACGAAGGGTCATCCCAGTGGAAGAGGAGCAGGAGCTACATCTGCACTGTGCTTACTGGGCCTCAGAGCTGACAAATCCTATGGGAATAAACTCCTATTCCAGCTGTAACAAAAAAAGCAAGTCAGACTCATCCACTTCAAATTAATTTAGCAGTGGCTAGTAGGGCCCCTAGTACAGTTCTTCTGGTTTGATTCCTCAAAGCTACACCAGGTTCTAATTTAGTGTCAAAAGGAGACGTAAGGACAAATTCCCACAGGGAAAGTGCACGTTCACACAATGCTCATGAACACAGGGATCGCTTGGTGACCGGCAGCTCTTGGATCTTCTCCTCTTCAGTGACCCAGTTTCTCCCAACTGCTTTTCACTTCTTTATTTAATCCCATTTTCCTCACTGAAGGTTAATTAAACTTGAAGGTGAATTAAAACTGGCCAGATCGCTCTCTTCCAAGAGCTCTGTAGCATCACACACCAGAACCACTTCCCACTTCTCATGCTGACTTACATTTTGCTGTAGTTAGGACTGTCAAAGAAATCTGAAATATTGGCACTTTTAGACTGCTGGCCTTCAAAGCTGTATCACAGCAGCAACTGCAGTGTGGACGTAGAAGAACTGACTACATGAGAAGCAATTAAAATGGATTCTAGATATATTTAATAGATCCTCTTACGGTTTGGAGTCCAACAAAGCTCTTTGGAAACAGAGGAGGAGCATTCATTCACTTGGGCATGTCACAGCAGCAACACTGTTTATGTATATCTTCAGGGCAGCTGAAGGAAGCAGCATTTCTCCTCACCTATTCATAAATCAAGCTATAAAGTCAGTGAGTCGTGCCAAGCTCCTTAGTGCTGTTCAGGGAATATAGGAAAGCTCCAGGAAAACTACTGGCTCAAAATTCTCCAAAAATTGCATATGTAAATCTGTCTCTGCTGTTTGGGGATGATTGGAAGAATTTCTAAGGCTTCCATATGTAAAAATCTGATGGCCAATCACAATAAATACAACTTGACACCTGAATCAAGGACTTCAATCTCTTTCATAAACTTCATTCAAGGCATGTTGCAACACCATATCCACTCAATTTTCCAATTTGGAAAAATGCATGAACACAAATACAGTTCCTCAGCTTTTGCACTAATGAAGTTTCTTCTAGTTAGCACCAATTAGCATGTTTGGATACGTGATAGAAATAAACTCCATTTTGCCAGCTGGGTGGAGTTCACTGGGTTTAAAAAATATTTGACACTCAGCAGGTGAGGAAGTGGAGACAGATGTTAACATGCAAATGAAATCAAAGGATGAAAAAATAATCCTTTCATTTCTTCCATTTATTAAGCAGCAGTAAGCCCACATCCTCCTTTGCCAACACCAGACATTATAGTAAAGAAGTCAAATCAGGAATAGTAAGTGTATAGTTCTCAGAGCAAGCACACTGTACTTGTAGGCAAGAAGTTTATGTACTGCTCTTCATTCTGTTACATCATTGTATGTTATTCTACATGTTTATGTATAATAAATATGGTTTAAAAATGGTAAAAGTAGTCAGTCTAAAGTAATTGCATTTATATTTTAAAATCCTGAATGCCTGCAATTAGAATTGACTCTGAAAAAAGTCTTCCTCATTTTTTCAGTTGATTTTGGATCATGAATTCTGACTCATTAAATATAGAGGTATTATTTGGTATCTACATGAAATGTTACACTTTCATCTATTTAAAGTTAAGAATTGCTGACTCCCACACAAGTTTATGGAAATACAAAACTAGAACCTCTCACTTGGCTACTTCTGAAAAGTCTGTTTTCATATGATATTGTCAGTAATGCTACCAAAGACAGCATTTACATTGCAAGCTCCATTGAAATGTGCCAGCTGGTAGATTGGATAGAGTTCTCTGAATTTTCTCCATATAAATAAATGAAGAAACTTCCCTGTCACTCCCAATAACCCTTGTGGAGGAAAAAAAATTAATCATTAACTTTCACTATGCAGCACTGGAATAATCCAATACTGTCACTGAACTTGTTCTTTTGAAAGTTGGCATTGGTGGACAATGAGAGCAAAAACATTTACTTTACGTCCACAAGAACTTTCATGACACAGGTCAGTGTGGACCAATTTCTTGGAAATTAAAACCACAGTGGACAAGATGATTTCAACTACCTGCTCCCAATATTCATGCCCTGAGGCCCATGCCAGATTTGCTACAAAACCAGTCACAGGGGGCTTGTGATTCATTAAATACTGTGCCAGAGGATATATCCATGGTGTTACCATAGATTTCTAGGTCTGTGTAACCTGTTAACAGTCTCTGATTAAATCAGAATGAGTTTAGCAGAACTAAGGGGAAAAATACATCAAAATCAGGAACTAAGTTCTGATTCCTCCTGGAAGGGATGAAAACTCAGATATAAAGACAGTCTTATTTTTATTAACTTAATCCAAGGGTCATATCAGATAAACCAAAGGTCAGATAGAACAAAAAGCCTCTGGGTCAAAGGGAACCACTGTAGCACCAGGAGCGTGGAGGAGGGAGATAGGACAGGCAGTGATAAACAAGAACTTCTAAGCCATCTTGGAACATTTTCAAGTATGCCTGCAATCTTACTTTATTAGGTCTAAGTGCAAAGTGAAGTAATCGGATTTAAGATATTTCATTAGAAGCTGCAAACTCATCAGATCTATTCAGGCTGAAAATATTTTAGTGTATTTTTTACTTCTTTTATGGAAAAAAAAAATCAAGCTACAAGTCCCATTTTTTACTTTCTGCACCACATATAAGAAAGAGGGTGTAATTGTTAATGGTGCATCTCTAGTCAATAATCTAAGAAAACATAATATTCATGAAATCAAGGTTTCATCTGAAATTCACTAAAGCCAAGACTTCAGTGGTCTTTTGCACAGGGTTTGAGCTTCCCTTGGACAGCAAACACAGGGAAAAAGCACAACTCTAAGGTCACTGGTGAAGATCACAGTACATACAAAAAGCAAATGCTGGATGTAGGTACCTTTTAAACCAGAAGATCTCTTCAGGATCTGCAATTCCATATTCCCTTAATTTCATCACCATCAAGGAGCTCTTCCTGATGGCTTGCTCATAGCGTTGGCTACGGGACAGGAAGTTCAAATCCTCATGCTGGAAGTCAGGGTCATTAAGAACTAAGGCCTCTGGGGACAGAACAGAAGAGGAAAACAAGCTCAGTTTCCACAAACCTCAACAAACAGTGGGTGAGAAATGACCCAGCTTTTTACCTGCTGTACCTCAAGGCACAGGTACCAGAAAATTAAAAATAAAATTGGAAGTTAATGAAATCAGAAAAAAGTCAAAGCCCTTTTAGAGAGCAACTCCTGGCACTCTCATTTTACACATCGACCCCATGCTTAGTTCAGAGCACTCTGGACTTGGCAGGAGGGCAATTCACTGCAGGTCCCCCAGCAACAGCCTCAGAGGCTCAGGCTGCTGTCCCTCAGCCTCCTGAACTCTGATCCCCTCGTAACTCCCTCCCTGCAGAAGGGCACAGCGACTATTCCCACTGTGCCAACCGGAAAACAAGGTACCCTGAGGCCACAGACCTCCTGTGGCCCCCTCTTTGGCACAGAAGTTACACAATAGCAGCCCCTGACAGTCCCACCCCAGGGAAGAGAATGGAAGCAGTTCATTAATCTCTCATACCACAGTGGTGGCAGGTGACAAACAGGTGACATTTGTACTGTTGGGCAAGTGCGTGGCAGGAAGGAAACAGGAGAGGAGAGGGCCCGAGTGAAATGTCCGTGGGAAGCTGCCTCTTACTCTCCGGAGGAAGGGGAAACAGAAGTAAAAGGACACTGCTCTATCAGGGTCAGCCCAGAGCCTTCCTGGAAAGGGAGGGAGGGAGACCAGGGACGTAGCGCAGCTCCTGTTCCTGTCTAACCCATCAGAGAGCTCCTCTCCTCTCTAGCCCTAAACTTCCTTTAGGCTGTGACCATCTGTCTGCAAATTCTCTCTTTACAGCTCTCCCCTCTCCTTGGAGTCCCCCCTCTCCCCAAAAGCTCCTCCACACATCCTTCCTCCCCATGTGTCCCCCTCCTCACAACCTCGTCCCTCCTCACCTCCCCCGAGGGTCCCCACCCCGTTTCCCCCTCCCCATATCCCGGTCTCCGTCTCCCTGGGGGCCCCCTCTTGGATCTCCCTCACTCCACAGCCTCTCCCCTCCCCACCGCCGCGTCTCCTTCTCCTAAAACCTCCTTCCCCAAGCCCTCACCAGGGCTGTCTCCGCCTCTCCTCGCCTTCCCCAGCCCGGTCCCAGCCGGGCCCTCCCTCACCGATCTCCTTGCGGCGGCGGGTGCGCTCGGGGCCGCCGTCCAGGATGTGCGTGAGCAGCAGGGGCTGAAAGGTGGCGGCGGCGCGTTCCCTCCGCAGGTCCGCGTTCATCGTCATCGCGGCGGCGGCGGCTCCGCTCTGTCCCGGTCCCGGTCCCAGTCCCGATCCCAAACCCGGCCCCGATTCCGGCCCCGCTCCGCCGGCGACGCCCCCGCGCGACGTCACTCCCGCGACGACACGTGGGTCCCGACCACGTGGGCGCCGTTCCCACGGGATGCGGTGCTGGAGCGGTGAGCGGCGCGTTAGACCGAGCTTGGAGCGGCGCCGTAGCGCTAACACGGGCCGCAGCCGGGGCTGGGATGCGGTGTGGTGTGCGTGGGGAACGCGCACCTCGCCTGCTGCATCGGCACTGGATAGTTAATTAAATAAACGGCTCGTTAAATGCCTTTGGCGGGGCGCGTTCGGCCACGCGTTAAGCGCGGGGTTGGGCAGTGCTCTGGATGTGCATATAAAGTGCTGCGATAAATATGCCTGCGGCGTGCTGCGGTGGAGGTGGCGCGGCCATTAAATAGCGCATTGGGCGGGCTCAGGGGTTGTGTCGGTCGGGGTACGGCTTCTGCAATATAAACGATTCTATACCCGAAAAAGTGCTTTAAATGCACACCGAGCACCTTGCACACCTGGCTAATCCCACCCGCCCGCGCAGCGCGATTCGGGAGCAAAGCCCACGCCGTGCAGAACAGCCTTTGCCCTTCGGGAGATACAGAATTGGCCCTACTTGTTCAATTTTAGGTGAGGCGGGGGTGGAGGGAGCTGCGGAGTGCAGGGAGGTGGGTCTGCACCTCCGTGGCCCAGGTTGAGATCGTGCCGGGGGGATTCTGCAGCCCGCCGTGTGTGTGCCCAGCCTTGCACGGGGCAGCCAGACAGCGTGAGGCATGTGCAGAGACGGGGTGAGCCAGGATTGCCCTGGTTTCAGCAGCCTCCCACGGAGTCCTCCGTGGGGCATTTTGCAAGCCCCGTGAGCAATGCGTAGGGTGGGCCAGGGACACCGAGGACTAAAGCCACAGGGCGTGTGTCAGCTCAGTGTCCCCACTGCTGCATAATCGGTACTGGGGGTCCTCGAACCCCTGGGGTGGCCCCACTTGTCTGAACAGCCTGGGCCATTGTGCAACTCTTGGGGTGCCCCCCAGTGAGGCAAGAAACCAGGGAGAAAAGCAGTAAATGGAGCATGGAAACACTCGAAACACAGGCAGCCTGCAAGGGAGATTGGAGGGAAAATGATGCCCAAAGAAACTACTTTGGGGCACAGACACAGCCTGGCTATGTCATCGTCTGGGCAGAATTAAAGTCTTCCCAAAGCTGTTTTGCATCCCTGTTTTTCTGTGTGCTTTGTGCTGTGTTTGACCTGCCTGTGCCAAGCCCTGCTCCACCACTGGAGGTGGAGTCTCACCTGAGTCTTGCTTTAGAATGAATCCTTTTCACTCATCACTGTCTCCTAAACCCTACTAGACTGCTGATGAAACCAGGCTGGCTTGTGTCCAAGTAATTGTTCTCCAGCTGCAGGATCAGACACTGCCAGAATTTCTTATCCTGCAGTAAGAGAATAAGTTCAGAATAATTCCTTAAATCTTGCTGCATGGTAACCCATCACCCCAGCAGCTGAGGCTACTCCTGCATTTCAGACCCTCACACTCTCTGAATTTCTCAATCACCATTTTTCCCACTTCTTAACCTTTCTTAACCTATCCATATTCTGGGCCAGACCTGGAGGATCTGGTGGGCTGCCTGTTGTTCATGCTGGGTTGTGTGGGAGTAGACAGTACCTGTTTATGCCGGAATGCCCCGGGCTTGGCACTGAGCTACAAACAGGACTCATCAGGGAAGCTGTGAAGCTCCTGCAGCCCCCTGGATGGTGGTACCTGGGCAAAGAAGGGGTTTTGGGTCAGTGTCACTTATAACTTGGAACAACATGGACTCAGATGTTTTGCTTTCCTGCAGGCCCAGCAGTTGTGCAAGATGCTGCCAAGTGCTGGTGTCTATTACTTCCCATGGGAGATCAACAACTCAGTCCCTGAGGGGGAGGCCCTGAGGACATTTGGCAGGTGAGAAGGGTACCTTGCTCTCCTTGTTGGCCAGGGGATGCCATAAATGTGCCTTTCCTTCACTGGTTCACTCCCCTCACTTGGTTTGTAATTGTATTTCTGCACCACTGAGCTTCCCAAATCCATCATTCCCAGGTTATGCTGCTATGACCTGGCCCGATCCGAAGCCGTTCTCACCGCTCAGCACAGCTCAGCTCAGTACCAGATCTGTGTCGACACCAAGTTTGTGGAGCCATTCCAAGCCCAGCTGGGATCTTTCTACATTGTCCTGGGAGAGGCTGAATACAGGGAAGGTAAGTGCTCCAGGAACCAGTGCCTTCTGCTGCTCATGGGTCACTGAGGGCAGTGTGGGCCAAGGCAGCTCGTGTCGTGCAGCTGCCTCTGGCTGATCCAAGGAGCAGCCTGCCTGTCCCTGTTGACCATGAGAAGAGCCACCCTTATCTTGGTGAAAATCTGATGCTCTGGCACAGATTTTGTTAGAGACAAGAAGCACCACCACTGGGCTTGTGAGACCTGTGCTAAAGCCTTCTGGCATCACCGGCAGCCACCACACCGACCGTCTTCGCTCCAAACGTGGCTGATTGCAGCAATACCTCATTGCAAGCTCGCTGGGTTGGTCTTTGCCATCCTTGAAAGGCTCTAATTATCATCCCTGCCCTCAGACATGTGAGGAATTCAGGCAGGCTCTGTCATGCAGGGCACCCTGTTGTCCTTTCCTGGGGTGCCCTGTGCTCCAGCTGCTTTGCGTGGGGAGTTGATCTGAGCTGGGCTGAGATGGTGAAGCAAATCCTTTGTTGTCTTGGCCACACCTGGTAACAAGCATTCACATTTGTGCCACTGAAATCCTCAGAATGTGGAAAGCCACACTGCACGTGGCCTCTAGAGAGCGACCTGCTACACCACTGCCACGAAATTCCTCTACAAGTTATTTTGGTCATCACAGGCTGGGAGCAAGTTGGGCCCCTTTTGCAGGGGTGGAAGGGGAGCAGGCTGAGATGGTGGCTGTGCCCCCAAGGTTTGGTCCTTCTGTGCAGCTCCATGTTTGCATTTGAATGCTACCAATGAACCGTGGGTTATAGTCAGCTTTGAGCCTCTTCTAAGCCCAGCTTTGTTCTGTTCTGTTGTCTGCACAGGAGCATTCAGAAATGAGATTAGACCTGTCCCTGCTGCTTTTTAGACAGGAAAAACCAAACTCCATGCAGCCATGAAGTAGACAGATGCTGCATGGCAGGCACTGGCACCGTTCCCCAGTGCAAGGAGACCGCAGTGTCAGTCACTTGCATTTTGTAGCCACCAGGGCAGAGGGGAAGCATGTCACTGAATTAACCTGCTCCCAGGCCTGCTGCTCCCTTCAGTGGCCAGTGGCCAATCTAGTCTCCTGGCACTTAGGCTGTGGTTACTTGTCCAGCTGGAGCCATATGCTGCCTCAGGGAACTCTCTGTCTCCAAGCTGCTTCGTCTGTTTTTCTTTCTACAGAAACTTCCAGTCCCGTGGTAAAAGCGCGAATATTGACCTGCGTGGAAGGGATGAACGTGCCCTTGCTGGAACAAGCCATACAGGAGCAGAGGAAGTACTTCAAGGAGAGGCAGGAGCAGAGGGAAAGCAGCACATCCTGACAGCTCCAAGACCAGACATCTGCTGGTCCTTGCACTACCTTTGCAACAAATATGTTAAAAGTAAATTAGGATGTGGGTTTGCTACATGGGTTTTGCTGTGGCAAACAGCAAAGTCACTGAGCAGGGAAGCACTTGAAGACTGTGAGTCAGTCTGTGACTGTGGGTTATCCATTCATGCCATGTGTCATCACTGAAAATAGCTCAGGGAAGGTTTGTTGTTTGTTTTTTGAAAGGGTGGCTAAGGAAAGGGAACACTTGGGTTGTACTGGTCCTTTTGTAATACAGGGCCTGGAGAAGTGGGGAAAAGGAGAAGTCTCTGAATCTGGAGTTAAGCAGCTCATTGTTGGCAGATTGGAGGAAAGAGGAAAGGGTCATTAGCACAAAGTAAAGTTCATTAGGATGAAGTTCATCAGCCCTGTGGGGCTGCAGGTTTCATGACTACATGAGTTTGGGTGCCCTGACTCAGTTGCCACACAGGACCATTCCTGGCAAAACACTCACCTGGATTGACCAACAAAGAAACAAGAAGAACAAAGAGTCCCTATTTTCAGTAGCAGCTGCCTCTTCAGGCTTTCAGTAGCTGGTGTCCAAGGGGAGGATTGATTTTACCTCCAAGATAAATATTTGCAGTGCCCTGACAACCATCACTTGACTTTCTTCCTTGACACAATTAAGTTTAAGAGATCTTAAATCCCTTTTGAGAGATTTATGGTTTTTATTGATATTTTCCTAAATAAAGATGAAAAGAGAAGGCAGCCTGTCTTTTATTGATTAAAATCCTCTTTCTTGCCAAGTCAAATGCATTAGACCCTGCACAAACCCTGTGGATGATGTAAGAAAATTCAGTGATACACATTTTTCCTCCTCCTCCTCCTAAGTACTGGGTGTGTAAGGAATTGGTTTATTTTGAAAAAGTTGCAAGAAAAGGAGATGAAGTTTACACCAGAGCCACTCTGGTTTAAGAACATGGTGCCAGGCCCACCCAGCAGAATTAAACCACTGACAAAAAGACACAAAATCACTAATGTCAAATGAGAATAAAATGGTTTTTCTGATGAAATGTGCAGAAAATAAGGACTAAAGCTGTCCAGTGCACAGCACCAGATAAAATACAACAGGTATTGGCACAATCCCATTGCAGGCAGGCTTGATTCAAGGGTCTGAGATGGAATTACAGTGCTTGCATTAATCTTTAATAATTTAGTCTTATGTTTTTCTTCACCCAGTTACAGAAATAGAAAAGCTACGACTGAGCACACTCTGTTGAGCCCAAATCCAAACCCATGATTTCAAGAGGCAAGATTATAACCTGGTTTTGTGTAAGGCAATGGCGAGTCTGTCATGATGCATTTATGTTTACACCTCATCTCCTATCTGTTCTACCTTCCTCCTTGTGCTTAAATTTTATCCAAATGGCCAAGTTTGCCAGAGTTGGGATAATCCAAGATGCCAGGACTGAGAACATCCAAAATACCAGGTTTCTACAAGTGTTAAGATAAAAAATCAACCCACAAATCCTACCAGTAAAGAACAGAGCAAATTTGGCAATGACTTCAGATGGAAATTTCAGTGCAAACTCAATCTTCATAAGCCACCAGAGAACCCACACAAGAGTTTGCCATGGCCGTGTGGATCCCACTTCTGCCACAGAGCAACTAATGCTTTGTTTTTTTCAAATTAGCAAAATCAGGATTAATAAAAAAGAAAAAAAGAAATTGAGCTGCTGGCTCAGCAATGGGCCAAATCAGCCCTAAAAGTTGGGGTCTTCCCTGTGGATTCACACAGCTGCCATGTCCATGACCACCCAGAGATGTGAAGGCCCCAAGCCTTCCAGACAACATTTCCTTTGGCTTTGCCTTTCCTGGTGCCACAATACATAAGATTATTTTAATCATGTCTTCCGTCAGCTGTCAAGTCAATGATTAATCCCTCCTCAAGGGCATCTTCCAAAAGGCTGACCAAGCGGCACAGCCCATGGTGGGGAGGTTAAAGGGACAATTGTGCAAGACACACATAAAAAAAGGAAATATAAAAAGGAAAAAAAAACAACAAAAAAGACATCCTGCTGAGTCTTTGACCTCAGTGTGTCCCAGGGAACACTCATCATGAGCCCGATTATCCTGTTGATGCCAAAAACTGTACAAATGGAGCAGGAGAGCTTCCCCTGGCCCTGTGCAGTTCTTGCTGCCTTTCCCCAGGCCCCAAAGCGCCTCTGTACATCCATTTTCCTCAGTTTTTGGCTTTAGCCAGCATACTGCACAACCCGGGTGGAACAACCAGCCCTGGCAAACCAGGGTGTGATTCTTTGGGTCTGCTAGAAGCCCCCCGGACACCCCCGGACCCCCAGAGTGCCCAGGCAGCCCTGTCCACCCACAGCCACCCCAGGCAGGTCCCTGAGGGGGTCCCTCAAGGCTGAGGGAGCAGCAAGCAGGGACTCAGACCACAGCAGCACCCCAGGGGACACCCAGGGAGACCAAACCCCTTCCCCACATTCATCTCTTTGTTTCCCGCCTTGTTTTTTCCCCTCAGAGCACAGCGCCAGCTGGCCACCCCCCACTGCCATCGCCAAGCAGAGGCAGCCCCATGGAGGCCATCCAGGAGTCATTCCAGAAGGTGGAGAAGATCGGGGAGGGCACTTACGGTGTGGTGTACAAGGCTCGCAACAAGCGCACGGGGCAGCTGGTGGCCCTCAAGAAGATCCGCTTGGACGCGTGAGTGGGGCAAAGCCATGGGGCAAAGCCCTGGGCCCACCATGGTGCCAGGCTGGCGTCCAAAATGGTGCAAGAGGCTCAAAAAAGCCTGACATGAGGGAAAAAAGCGTCTCTATCAGCTTGTGGGAGTGGTCAAGGCCTTACCCAGTGACACCAGGCCCTGGGCTCAAGGCACAGGGCAGGGGGAAGCAGCTGCCATTTTGGGAGGTGGTCTCTCCCTCAGGGATGTGGTGTGAAGGTCTGGTGAGGTTCAGTCTCCCAGCAGGGTCAGCCTCGGCCCCTCCAAGGTGGACTGAGCAGGTAAAAGCTCATTGCTTTTCCCCTGGATCAGCCCTGGGCTGTCTGCACAATGAGGGATGTCTGTGGGCTGGGGGGCAATTGTGGTGGGACTGCAACCCCATGGTGGCCCCTCAGGGTGGGGCAGGCGGCTGCCTGAGGGACATAGAGCTTTCATCTCCCACCACCTCCAAAAATCAAGACCTGGGCATTTAAACCGTTATTGCCTCTCTAAATGCACCTTCAAGCGCTTCCAAACAGCCTCTGCCCTGGGACTTGAACTGTCTGGGTCACTTCCTCCATCTCCTTGCCCACAACTCCATTGCCCCCTGCCTCACTCCCAGTACTGCTCCATCCCAAACTCAAATGCTCCTCTGGGCAGGTGATGGGGTACAGTGGAAGAGGGAAGGGATACAGGACCCCAATGGGCTGTGGGATCCCCCTGGGTTACAGGGTGTCTCTGCCACAGGGAGTCAGAGGGTGTCCCCAGCACTGCGATCCGAGAAATCTCGCTGCTGAAGGAGCTGAAGCACCCCAACATAGTCAGGTAAGATGAGCCCTCCCCACCAGCTCATCGATGAGTTCCTGCTACAGGAGCTCTGGGTACAAGCAGCAAGAGGAATTTTCTGTCCTTTCCCAACTGCGCGGACAGGAGAAAAATAAAGAGGAAAATGCAGGAATCACTTGCGCTTCCCTGACTCTCAGCAATACCTCACTCCAGCAACACACGCTGGTCCAAGCTGTTGCTGCTCCATACTATCTGCACCCTTTAAATCTGCCTCTCTCTGCTCCAAAGGGCTCACAGAGCAGAGGCGTCTGTGGGATGAGGGATGTTTGGATATTCGTAAAGTTCTAGGAGAAGGTACTGAAGGGAGAATCTGCACTTCTTTTGCAGGCTCCTGGATGTCATACACAGCCAGAAGAAGCTCTATATAGTGTTTGAGTATCTGAGTCAGGATCTGAAGAAATACATGGACTCATGCCAATCTGGAGCGCTCCCTTTAAGCTTGGTCAAGGTACAGTGTGGAAGGAGTGCCAACAGGCAGGGCAGAGAGCATGTATCCCTGCTGCCTTCTGCTGGGCAGAGTGCACCTGGAAGAGATTCCTCAGCCTCTCAGATCTCAAACATTTCAGCTGGGAAACCCTCATGGCACAATTGCTCAGTACATTTATTTCCCAGCTGTTTCCAGGCTCTCCAGCCCATCTCTGCTGCAGAACAAACTGAGGGATCTATTGCTCATTGCCTTTGTAAAGAGTAATGGATGAGTGGAAGGGACTGACATTAGATCCATTGCCTGGATTAGAGTCCTTCTTACCCCATGCAGGGTGGGAGCAGGTTGTGTGTGTCTCTGAGTAGTAGCCCACAAGCCTGATGTTGCATTGTAGCAAGGTCTTTTTTCCCATTCAGATCTGTAAGTAATCCAAAGTGTGTTGGCTCACACAATCCAGCATTAAAAGTGTTTTCATCATGGCCTTATCTGAAATCTCTTCTCTCCTTAGAACTACCTTTTCCAGCTGCTGCAGGGTGTGAGCTTCTGCCACTCTCACAGGGTCATCCACAGGGACTTGAAGCCGCAGAACTTGCTCATTAACGAAGCAGGAGCAATCAAGTTGGCTGATTTTGGACTGGCAAGAGCTTTCGGAGTCCCCCTGCGCACATACACTCACGAGGTAGTGTTGAGGCTCCCACACTGGGGTACACAATCCACAGTGGGTGAACAGTAGCAGCAGCATCACCACAAGTTACTCATCCATAACGGAGGCACAGCCATAGCCAGGAACATGCTCTTATCCTAACCTGCACCTAAAAAGTTACCTCATGTCCCCACAAAGTCTTCTGTCTCTAGCCTGGCTGCAAGCTGGGTTCCCACCTTCTCTGTACAGGGTCTATTTATTTGTTCCAGAGCTTGTTTATTGGTTCCTTTCCAGGTGGTGACTCTGTGGTACCGAGCCCCTGAGATACTGCTGGGATGCAGGTACTACTCAACGCCTGTGGATATCTGGAGCATCGGCTGCATCTTTGCAGAAATGGTAGGATGGGTTTAAATAGTGTCTTTAATGGGCAGGGAGGAGGTAGCTGCAGTGGGAAGATGGGATGAGATGCAGAACATCTGTGATACTGTGTTCCCACCCTGTTATGGAAAGTCCACCCTGAGGGTTAGCTGATCCTTATCTGAGGGAAATCTGCCACCCTCAGGGGCCTGGCAGAAGGCTGCAGTTCCAGGTACATGGGGCCATGGTGCCTCTCCTCGCAGAAGGGGTAAATTCTGTCTTGCTGTTGCAGCATTTTGATCCTAGGAGGAGATGACTCTATGTCTCCACAGCGGGCTGCAGAGAACCAGCACTCTTGTAGCATGGCAGAATGGATCTCCTAGGGGCCTGTACTCCCCTTGGAAGAGCTCTGGTTATCCCTGCAATGTAATAGCACTATCCCTCATTCCCAAAGTCCCTGAGCTGCAGAGTAGGCGGGAGGTAGCGAGCCAGGAGTGGGTGTTAGAAACTGGAGACAAAGAGGGATAAGGGACTGGCTGAAAGAGGGACAGTCCCAGGGTAGCATGGATCAATGGAGAGGAGCTGGAGACAAGCAGTCAGACACCTGTGACCTTCCCAACCACTGCCTGGCATTGCAAGTGCCCTGTTCTGTGCAGTTGTTTGCACCTGCTGGGACAAAGGGCTGCCTGCAGCAGGAAATAGGGCACAAAGCTGATGGAAAGGCGGGAACTGCCTTCTTCTCTTCTCCACCAGATGACCAGGAAGGCCCTGTTTCCAGGGGACTCTGAGATCGACCAGCTCTTCCAGATCTTTCGCACCCTTGGCACTCCCACCGAGGTGACCTGGCCTGGCGTGACACAGCTGCCTGACTACAAGGGGAGCTTTCCCCGGTGGCCAAAGAAGGAGTTGAAGGACATTGTTCCCAACTTGGATCGAGATGGGAGAGACTTACTGACGGTGAGTGAGGGCTCAGAATAAGACCTGGGGACAGACAGGACCTTTTCAAACTAGGCAAAGAATAGGAATATTGAGACTGATTTACCTGGAAGTGTAGATCTGATCTGGGTCTAAAGCTCACCTCTGCCACCGCAGAAGCACTGAATCACGGAATAGGGCTCAGTCCTGCTCTGAAGCAGGACAGTCACTGCAGGTTCCTCTAGTAACCACTGCACTGGGAGTCAAGGAACTCTTCTAACATAATCCCCACAGTAATTTGAGTTGTGGGTGACCCCTGAAGCCCAGAGAAAGGAAAAGGCAGGACCAACACCTGCATGTGGGCCCAGCCATGTGTGGGTGCAATTGATCGTTTAAGTTTTAAAATCCTAACTCTGCTGGGTTTTTCTCCTGGCAGCAATTGCTCCTGTATGATCCCAGCAAGCGCATCTCAGCCAAGGCAGCCCTCAACCACCAGTACTTCCTCAGCAGGAGCTCCGGGACCCCTGAACAGCGACATGCGCTACGGAGAGAATGCAGATGAGAGGACGCAGCTCTCCCCAAGCTCCTGCACCTCCAGGTAGCACTGCAGGTCTGGTTTGGGCCCCAGCTGGGACTTGGGATCTTGCTTCTCCTGAGGAGCCTGGAAGGGGACAATCTTGGCATTTAGAGACTCTCAGCCTGTTGCTGGGGGAAAGTTTGTGTTGCAGCCAGAGAGTGGTTTGAAGAGGTGCAAAAGGGTGGGGGTCATTTATCAGCATAAAACACCGAAATGTAGAGAA